CCTTTAAACTTCAGGAATGCCAGATAGTCGATTGTCACAATTGTGATAATCGATTATTGGTTGTTTGGTTGAACTTCAGGAATGCCAGATAGTCAAAGACGCGTTCACCCGTCTCTAACCATTCGATAAAATCATCGGGGTCGTCCTTGCCATCAAAAGTTGGGATTTCAACCTTGAAACTAGCGGAGGACTTCTCTTGGTTGTCCTTTCGTATGGAAGAGGAAGGAGTTTTTGCATGGGTCTCTTCTTCTTGCTCGTCTTCACTTTCCTCGGTTGTCTCCGTCATCTTCAACTTCATTTTAGTGAGTTGAGCCACTTGTTTGGCCAAAGACTCAACTTTAGCTTTGAGTTCGGCATTGGATGCAACCAGGTCTTCCTTGGTGATGTTTTGGGAGGTGTGAGACATGTTTTGAACTAGGAAGTGAAAGAGTGAAGGTAGGCCAGTAGCTAGGATGAAGGAATTGGGGGGGGGGGGAGAATGTTTTGGACCAAATAAGGATGAAGGAAAGGAGAAAGAGTGGAAGTGTGTTCTTGGTCCTTTGGGATCTGGGAACAAGAAGCTCTGAAACCAGATGCTATACCCGAACCCGGGGTCTTATCATGTAGATAATTTGAGGGCGGGATTACAGAGCAATTGGTAGCAAACTAGAACAGCCTTTAAACTTCAGAAATGCTAGATAGTCGATTGTCACAATTGTGATAATCGATTATTGGTTGTTTGGTTGAACTTCAGGAATGCCAGATAGTCAAAGACACGTTCACCCGTCTCTAACCATTCGCTAAAATCATCGGGGTCGTCCTTGCCATCAAAAGTTGGGATTTCAACCTTGAAACTAGCGGAGGACTTCTCTTGGTTGTCCTTTCGTATGGAAGAGGCAGGAGTTTCTGCATGGGTCTCTTCTTCTTGCTCGTCTTCACTTTCCTCGGGTGTCTCCGTCATCTTCATCTTCATTTTAGTGAGTTTAGCCACTTGTTTGGCCAAATCCTCAACTTGAGCTTTGAGTTCGGCATTGGATGCAACCAGGTCTTCCTTGGTGATGTTTTGGGAGGTGTGAGACATGTTTTGAACTAGGAAGTGAAAGAGTGAAGGTAGGCCAGTAGCTAGGATGAAGGAAATGGGGGGGTGGGAGAATGTTTTGGACGAAATGAGGATGAAGGAATTGGGGGGGGAGAATGTTTTGGACGAAATGA